ATGCTTGGTTCTGTTTATGGGTTTGGGGAGGATGAGGAGCCTGCAAATGGGGATGATCCTGGATCCAGAGTTTCCAGTGTACAAGTGGAGTCATTGGATACCTCTAACATTTCCCGTCCACTTGGAAGGGCTGAATCTAGTTCTAAGGCATTTGAAAATGGTGAGAAAGAAACAGATGAGAGAGGTTCTACTCATTCACTTCGTTCTAGTAAAGATAAAGAAAAGGTTCCTTCACTGAAAAAGAATAATTTGGTCAGTGCTTCCAAGAGTGGTAGTAGAAGCAGCATGCGGAAGGAAAGTGACTTCAGTTCTTCTGCTGTAGCAGAAAAGACAAAGACAGACATGTCTGGTCTAGGAGCTGTCACTAAGACTGGACCGATGGTGGAGCCTCCATTTGAACTGAAGAGATTGATTGATAAGATAGTGGAGTTCATTCTGAGGAATGGGAAGCAGTTTGAGTCAACTCTGATGGAACAGGACAGTAAACATGGGAGATTCCCATTTCTCCTTCCGTCCAACCAATATCATCCCTACTATCTAAAAGTACTCCAGAAAGCTCAAGAGGTGAAAGCTCTTTCTCTGTCTGGGAACGTCATATGGGTTCCTCTTCATTCACATGGCTAAAGTTTTTTTAATTTACTAAATTTGAGCATAGTTTTAGTTGCTTCATCTTAGCATTTTTTTCTTAGTACTGATTATTAGCACAAAGACAATTAGGAGTATTTTTCTCTCTGGTTCTGGATTATTGGTGTAGATAATGCATGTGAACCTGGTTATACTACTTCCCCTTTGGAGAGAAGTATGAAATTACTATTAACATTTTGTCCTTTCTCCTCTTTGTTGTGCAGTCAAAAGTCCATGGATCAGAAAGGAGATCTTCTTTGAAGGAAAGGGATTCTACCTCTTTAAGGGCTTCGGAGTATGATCTGCCATATGAAATTGATAAGAAAGAGAAGTTTAAGATGGTGATTGGCAAATCCAAGAAGGAAACACAAGACTCTCTGACTAGAACTTCAGAGCAAGAGGCTGGGGTGAATGTGGATGCTGCTGCCGCTGCTGCTATCCTTCAGGCAGCCACTAGAGGTATTAAGAATCCCAATTTGAGTATCATCTCAGGCTCATCTAAGAACGGCGATAGTCAGGGTCAAAGCAGTGAGGGCGCCCAAGCATCGAGCTTCCTCAATGTCCCACCATCTGGGCTCAGTATAGTTGGTCAGAAGTCTGACAGAAGGATGGGACATGGTGTTTCGATTCCAAAGGTGAAGGAAATTGCAAAGTCTGCTGCTGCGGAAGCTGCAAGTGAAGCAGACTCCTCTGAAGCACACTTGAGCAAAGAGCAGAAGCTAAAAGCAGAGAGGCTGAGAAGGGCAAAGATGTTTGTTTCCCTGTTAAAAGGTGGTGGAGCAGCTCCTGCCAAAAGAGATTCACTTGGAGGGTCAGTGGAGCCACAAGGATCTGCCTTATCAGGTTCTGTTACAGAGGTTAATGTTGCTACTAAAGAAAGAGAAGGCAGTGCAGCTCTGGCAGAATTGACTGCTGTGGAGAGAGAAGGCAGTACTGCCCCATTAGATAACAACAATGCGTCGAATGAAAATGAGAAACCTGAAATGCAACATACTGCTGAAGAGCATGAGCGACGATCGAGAAGAAAATACAGGTCAAGATCTGGTATACACGAAGATGAGGATGAAGAAGAGGAAGAGGGGCAGGAGGAGGAGGAGGAGCAGCGTTCCAGGAAGAAGCGCCGGTCATCAAGAAAAGATGAAGATGAAGAAAGTGAAGAGATAAGGGATGATAAGCGATCCAGAAAAAAGAGGCGATCACGCCGTCACAGACACAAAGATAGTGAAAATGCAGGCGAGGATGAAGATGATGAAGATAATAGGCGATCAAGAAAGAAGCACCACAAAAGGCATTCATCCCCTGAAAATGATGATGATCAAAGAGATGCAGAGAGACATCATAAGCATGGAAGCAAAAAGCATTCAAGTCATCGGTCTTCACGTGAAAATTGGAAAGATGACGATGAGGGGGACTATAAACATTCCAAGAAGAAACATAGATCTCATAGAAGCTCCCATCGCAGTAGAGATAGACATGAACACAAGACCAAAGATTCTAGTGATGATGAGTCTGATAGATCTCGTAGAACTTCCCATAGGATTAAAGATAGACACAAACACAGGACTAAACATTCTAGCGACAATGAACCTGAAGGCAGACATAAGCATGCAAGCTCTTCTGATGATGAAGAGCAGCAGTATGACCTGGGTGGTAAGAATGAGAAAGGTACCAAAGAAAGAGAAGAACTGGAAGAAGGTGAGATCCTTGCCAAAGCGTCAGATCAATCAAGAGGAAGTTTGGGAGGTTCTGTCAGCAGAGAAGCTTCAGTCGATGTATCTAGTTCCCAGCAAAGAGCCCCATCTCAGCCGTCTGAATCAACTGAGATATCAGATGATCTTAGGGCCAAAATTCGCGCAATGTTAATGGCGACTAGGACGTAGTTGAGGAACTGCCACTATTGGTGCTTAACTGAGAATCCTTTGCAGTGTAAAGGGCATTGTAAAGCCCATGTTGAATCTTGATTTACTATTAGATAATTCTGGTTTTCATCCTCATATTTCATTATGCTATTTAAACTTTTTGCCTGTCCTGTTTCATTTGTTGATTAATCGAGGAGTTGTGTTATTTACTATCGACCAATTTTAACATGTTACAGCGGTTATCATGTTATCATATTGTTTTGTTTGCAGACTAAGTTTTTGTTTGGTTCGCTGACTAAAGTTATTCAGATAATAGTAGTGCTTTATGATAGACTTCACTTTTTAATGAACCTTTTTGCGTCGTTTGTGCAATGATTATATGCTTAACCCTTAACTATGACTTCCGCTACGTGAGTATACGCGATTAACAAATCTATTAAGTTTTTAAGATCAATTCATTTTCCCATCAAACAACTTGAATATAAGATAATAATGGTACAAAAATCACCTGTATTTTATTTACTGATTTAATTTTTTATATCATAACAATCTCCATTAAAAAGGATAATATAACTAAAATAGCATTTGTCGTGAGACAAACAAATCTAACGAAAAAATGGCTACTGGGTTGAGATTTTACTCAAATTTGCTGAAATCGTTGCATGGGCAACTTATTTTCATTATATCTAAATTTTGATAAATAATTTATAGCTCAATTATAAAGCAAGAGCGGGGATAGCTCAGTTGGGAGAGCGTCAGACTGAAGATCTGAAGGTCACGTGTTCGATCCACGTTCACCGCATTCTATTTTTTTTCTATTTTCAGTTTTAGTCCAAAACAAATTTTATGCATAAACTACTTCTTTCTTGTAAAAATTTCTTAAATTTGTTTTCTTTTCTAAACCAAACTAATTTCGTTCACATTAGTTAGTACAATAAAACACCCAATATAATTTCATCAGTGCTTTCTTTTTTCCATATTTGTGAGTTTTGGTAGATGAAATATTTATTTGCTTATAAGGGAGCTAGTAAATATTGAAATAGTCAAGGTGCACATTAACAAATAATCAGTTCGATATTCTAAAATAACGCCTTGATCAAATACTAATAAATGGATTCTAAAAATAATATATATGTATTTAACAAAAAGAGATTCTTAAAATAAAAACAATGTAAAATTTGGACTATGTTACTGAGTTTTACCAATCCGTAACATACTTTCTGATTCTTACTATGTATAAACTGATTCTAACAATATAAATTTTTGTACATATTTAATGAATTTCTTAATTTAAATATAATGAATGGATCAAATATAGAATTCTACCAAGCTAGTACCTTACTTTTTGACTCCTTCAAGATACAATTTCGACAAAACTCATTGATTTCAGCCTAAATAACGTATATGTATTAAGAAATTTATGAAACACGTACAATTACTTATCGTATTATAACTCAATTTCTAGCACCCAAATTTGCCCTTAGAATTCAAAAACCATAAAATTTTGAATCTCGCTAAATTCAAACTGAGTCAAACATCACTATTTCTCGTACTTGCACAAAGATATCAAAGGAAATGAGAGCTTAAAGCTTCGTTTTGGCTTATTCTTGTTCTTGTTAGGATCTTGTAAAACACAAACATCACCATTGCACACCAATTTGCTTGAGCTTGAGGACGTGAAGAAACAACCACAAAAATTGAACAAAGCCATAAAACATATCAAATTTACAAAATAAAGTTTATATACTAATATATTTCTGATAAAAAAATATTGGGGTACTTTTTGGTGAATGATAAATTAAGCACTATATATTAACAAATTTGAAAGGCATAGAATAGTTCTAGCTTGCTAAATGCAATTTCCTTGTGAAAATGACATTTTTTTAATAGTCAATTTATAGGTGCCGTGATCTACCTAATAAGTATACTCATTTTAGATTAATAAATGACTACAAGACATGTTTGTGTAATATTTTCCGTAAGAAAGAAATACGATAAATAATTTGAGATTAAAAAAAAATTTAATTAATTTGATAGTTGTAAATACAAAGCGTGTGTTAGAATTAGGGGCGAAAATTCCAATGCATATGAATACAAATATAACAAACATTAGAATAATTAGTGGAAATGTCCAAAATTGGCATCAGGAATTTTGACTTTTCATCTCATAGAAGATATTGATCGTTTCGAAACAACCTCTCTATCTTCGTAAAATAGAGGTACGACCATATACATTCTATTCGAAAACAACCTTTCTGCCTTCATAAATTAGAGGTACGGGCCACGAGTGGATTCTAAAGAGGGTGGTGTGAACGCATGGAAGTTATTCCCTATAGACCCTCAAGTAAAACATATCAAAATCAAGTACGGAAAAGAAACACAACAATGAAGAAAGTAATGCTGACAATAACGTAGACGAGAGGAGCAGCAACGACAAAAGTATAACAAAGTTCAAATACATTTGAGATTATAAACGGAAAAATATGAGGAAAAGAAACCAACAAGAACACACAACAGCAGAGGGAAAATGAGTAACTGCATAGAGTAGATATATATACTTGAAACAAGTTGATGTTAACCAAAGGCTAAACAAGTACGAAACAGACATAAGATTCCGTCTTTTAGAGGAAAGATAACGCGAGAAGAACGAATTTACATGTTCTTTTCTAGTAAGAGTTATTTACAGGCAGAGAGGTTTGACTGCATTTTCAAAAGGATCCAAATGTATTCTCTCCACTGTAGGTCATGTACAGGAAGCCGTCCTCATCTTTGTGCTCCTCATAAATGGCGGACATCATGGCAGCTGTAAAAGGTCAGAAATAAAGACGATCAGAAAGGAAAATAGTTGAGCAAGGCAAAATGACAATTATGCCTCCGGGGCTTGGTCTAGTGGTAAGGAAGCAACATCACAGGTACAATAGCATTTGTCTATCTTGTATATAAGAGGATACAGGTAGAGGGACAGTGCATTATCTACAAAGTTTCAAACCGCGCACCACTGGCCCTAAGAGATTTCCGGTTATCCGATAAGAAAAAAATAAGCATACTGACAATTGTGCTAAGATTCTGCTTACCTGTGGGAGGAAGGATATTTTTCACAAAGATAAAAATAGCCTTTTCAGCACTAAGCTTTATTCTCTTACGAACGACATAAACAAATTGCCCCACAGTTAGATCAGCAGGAACCAAGTACCTGCAATGATTATGAGTAACAAACATTACAAGACGGAAATGCTTGGTAAGGGGGGAGAAGCGTATGAACCACTCCATTCAAGGTGTCACAAAAGGCTGTTGCATTATCAAGTATAAATTTGAAAATGAGTTGGTTTTGATTTTTGAAAAAAACAATTTGAAGCAATGTCTTCAATTGTTGCATACCACTTTCAAATGAAGAAAGAATATTTTAAAAGACCTTGCACTTCATTTATACGCTTTAGAACATACAATTACATCATTCTTGTTCTCTAAATATCTCCTTCCAAGCGCAAACTACTCCTCTTTAATCTCAAATAATAACCGCTACATTATACAATCTCAAACAAATGATCTGCTTCACAAGAAAATATTTTTGGTATTCCGTTTTCCTTTAAACATGTATAACAAACATGCATCAATCATGTCACCGCTCAAAAGGTACAGTAGCCACATCAATACTCTCAAGAAAATGTTATTGAACAAAATCAACTTGAGTAAAACCAAGCATAACGTGCATGAACATAACAAAGAACAAAGCACAGAAGAATATCACGAAGACTAACTTTTTCTTGTCAATGTCAGGAATGTCACTTCTGTCAGCCTTCTCCACAATAACCTACCATGGCATGAAGAGAACAATGAAAACAACATGCTACAAAGAAAAAATAAATAAAAGAGTGTTGTAATATAACAGATCAAATTGCATTAGTACCGGTATTCTATCAGGGTACTTCTCCCTGATACGAGCAGCTTCAGCCTGTCGCCTTTCTGGAACAATGCACCACCAAAATTAATAATTCAGGAACATAATTTAGATTAGAGGATACATATGTATTTATACAAGCGATCCCTAATGATTGATGAGGTAGTCATATCACTATAATACATTTAAAAATAGAAGCCACAATTTTTTTTAACTAACATAGTACAGACGAGTACCCTTGACAAGTCCAATGCCAACTGCTGTATGAGTAAACAATTTAGCACATTATTCTGGCATTAGGATCAAATGCAATGAAACAAATTTTAACGACTTACTCATTAGCACTACGAGTCAACAACAACATAATTGCATACCCAGTGTAGTAGTCCCACTTATGCGAACCTTATCTCTACCTCAAAAATAGAGAGACTGTTACTATCTATGTTTCTTGTGCTTACATTGATGTCACAAAAAACATTGGCACATTCCGAAAGCTATGTTTTCCCATTAATTTTGCACACCACTTTGTATCGTTTATTCCCTTCAGTAAGTAACAGTTAGCACTTTCGGACCAAAAATTTCACAAATCATTGGAAGTGCAACAGTATTCATGCTCCCACACAATATACACAATTAAAAACAGCCCATCAGAAATTTAAAGAAAAAAACAAAGACATATAATGATGCAAACATGTAACAGAGCAACTATCTAAATTTAAACTGTCCATTTCACAAAGTAAACTACTACTACTACCTCCATCCCAATCTGTATTACTTTTCTTTTTAGTCTGTCCAAAAATAGTCTCTTTCTACACTAGTAAATATTACTACTTCCAATATTCCACTAAATAACTACACATCTTAAATTTTAAGACTCAAGATTCAAAAGTGTTCCTTTATTTCTTAAACTACGAGTTCAATCAAACTAAAACACTTAAATTGAGACAAAGGAGTATGAAATTCCAAAGAAACACAACAAAATCCCAAAAGGAAAGGACTAATGGCTTTTCCTCAAACAAATAAAAAAGCAATTTTTTTCCAATTTGTAAATGGTTTGACCACCTCCAATTCCCATCAAATAACAACACAAAATAGCAAAAGGAAAATAATTGACTAATGGATCAAGCAAATTAGAGCCAAAAAAATTGATTAAAAATCAAAACTTTGAGCCAAAAACACAATAATAACACAAAATAGAAAGATATATATGAGATTATACCAAGAGGGTGTTCCAATTTGAAGGAGCTTTTAGCCATGGTGATGGATTAGCTACAATTAGAGAGAGATCAAAATAAAATTAGGGTTTACCAACAGGGAAAAAAAAAGAATATGATCTTACCAAGGAAATGGACAATTGAGAGTTTTGATTGAACACAACTCTTTTTTTTATCAATTGTGAAGGAAAATAACAAGAATGGTCCATTATGTTTTGATGTGGTTTAAAACACTCCCTTAAACTATGTTTCCAATAGTTTTGGTTCTTTAAATTTTCATCAAATATTTTACAAATTCAGTCTTTTCTGTCGATCTCGGTGAGCTAGTCTTAGTAGCTGCCCTAATAGCGGAGGGCCCTTGGGGATCCCAACTTGATTTGTTGATGATTTATTAATGTTGGGGTTGTTTTTACTTATCTTTATGTCGGTCATATGTAACGTGAAAAAAAAAATTTAATGAAAAATTACGTTTAAAGGTGTGAGCATTGGCTGAATCAAAAATTTCATAAAGGAAGTCTAGAAATAACAATTTGTTATGTTAAGGGTGTCCAAGATATGTTATTTTATCATTTCGTATATCATTTTACTTATATATATGATATTCTTTTTCTGATAAAGGGTGTCCAAAATACCAGTTTTGTGATTTATCCTACTTTTGATTGACTTTTCTAAAGTATAGTAAAATAAAGATAGGTATAAAAGCATCGCACATATTACTTTCTTTATATTCAGGTTTCATTTGTAGAATTATACTATTGATATTCTGGAGTTCAGTATAGCTTTTAAAGTTCAAATTTCACATCTTATGGTCTTTTTTTGTTTGTCTAATAATGTTTTTTTTTTTTTGCATTTTTAAAGATTTGATAAGATTTCTTTTTAGTTTTTTTAATTAGTTTTTACGATTTTCGTCAAATTTAATCGATAAAATTTGTTGAATATTTGACAAAAAATAAAAATATTATTTTTTTGGAAAACTTAAAAAACCAAAATTATTCAAAAGCATACTTTAGGGGTTGTTTTGAACTTACTACCAAACATGAGAGACCATTTTTGTTATTTTCTCATCGATTGAGTAACGGAAAGAAAGGCCCATTTTGTCACTTTCCTAGACGGTGCCGTTTTGATCGACTACTCCTTTTAGCATTTTCTTTTTCATTTTTCATTTAATAATTTAATCGGTAAACGAGTTATATTAAAATTATAATATCAAGGTTATTTCCTGTTAAATTTGTTTGATCAATAAGAATTCATTCAACAAAGTTATTGATGATGAATAGGGATATTTAATTAATTGTATAATAAAAAAAATCATTTTTAAATCAAAGACAAATATATTATAAATTTTGATATATATCTATTAGATCGTGATTTCATATAATAAATATTTTAATATCATTGTATTCAACATTTTTATTTTATTACAACAATGTGATGATCAATAGATATAGATATGAGGAAAAAAAACCTTCACTTAAAATCTTTTATTTATTTATTGAATTTATTAATTTATCATAACGATATAATTATGGACATACTCAATTGCTCAAATGATATATACATTCAAATTTTTTTTTAGTTAATTCACATGCTTCATCATTTACGTTAGTCTTATCAATTTTTTTAAATTACGTATTCTTCTAATAAAAAAATTAAAATATTAGCTATAATATTACTTAAATCGAATATGTCAAAACCAATTATTCAAAATATACATATATATTAGGATTTGAAATATGATTCGAATTCATATAGCATTACTATCCAAAAAAAAATGCAATGTTGACTATTGTATCACCTTTTTGACAATGAGCAAAAAAATGTATAAATTGTATATTATATATTATTACAACTTATATTAAGTATACTTAATGTCTTTATTAAGATTAATTACAAGTCAAATAAGTAAAATTATCCCATTTATAAAATCCTTTAGAACGTGATAGGCACGTTTAGCAGAATCTCATGGTCTTGGATAAATACCAATTATTTAACACCTTTTTTAATTATTATTTTTGTTTCTGAAAATTTGTTTATATAGATAAAGTTAATTAGGGTGACTAGATTATTTTGGCCAAGAAAATTAATTAAAAATCGTTATTATCAGAGCTTCATCAAAGTCACCTTCAATTCTGGGTTTTTAATTTGAAATTTCATTAATGAATACAATATCATAATTAACCATTAAATCATCGAAAAATCAATTCAAGATACATTATAAAATTTATTATAACGTTCAAGTAAATATTTTTTAAAACTCTTATATCTCTTGTTGTATATATTTAATATTTAAAATTTAGTGATTCGATTCACACAAAATCGAATTAAATTCTCTATTATTACACGTTTACTAACCTTCACCTATCATATCATCGAATGTTTATTTAAGTCATAAAAAAATGAATAAAATACAAATAAAGTCTATTATTTAAGACATCTCTAGGACAAAATTTTAGGTCTTTATCTCTCATCTTTGATTGCTTACACATTTTTTGTCTCTATGCATAGAGTTCTTCAAAGGATTTAAAGTAAGAATTATTTTTCTTCTTCATGTTAATGAAATTTTTATAGAAGAAAATAATAATTTCATCTCTTTTTAGTTCTTTTTTTCTCTCTTTAATTCCCCTTTCTATGAGCTAAAATTATTTGTTTATTCCATATATGCAGATATATTAAATCTAAAGGAATATAATCTCTCTGTTGGAATTTTCAATTGAAGAAAAAAAAAGCACATTTTGGTAAGTAGCTTTTTATTAATTGTGTGTTTAGTTTTCTACTCGATATTTGAGTTGTTTAAATTTTTCAAAAATATTATAGTATACATGTAAAAAAATATGCATTTTTGGAGAATCGTATCCGAAATTCGAAAACCATAATTATTTTATATCTATTTTAAACTCTGACTAATTTAGATTGAATAATATATTCTATCACGATTTTTCTTACCTCAGACTCGACCTTTAAAACATATTTGACTTTAATTGAAATTTGTGTTTTTCATGCAAGCACAATTTCCTCATCTCTATTTTTGAAAGGAAAAAAGAAAAAGATTCAATTTTTACTTGGTTGACTTGATTGATTTTTTTTTTCATTTTTTTTTTCAGATGGCATCAATCAATAATGAAGAATTTCAAGAAGAAGATATTTGGGGTTATAATAACAATAATAATGATGACATTGTTAGTGAAAAAAACAAAATTAGTTCAAAGTTCATTACAAATCCAAGAAGATTAATTATTCCTACTTCAACTAAGATGATGAATATTCCAAAGTCAAAAAACAAGAATTCAAATCAAGAATTCAAGATCGTCCAACATTCCGCCCCAGTAAAAATACCTGATTGGTCAAAAATTTACGGTTCAAAATTAAAAAAAGAAATTAATAATTTTGACAATAATGATGATGATGAAGAAGAAGAAAATGTTATGCCACCACATGAATGGCTAGCTAAAAGGATTGATAGAAGAGAAATTTCATCTTTTTCAGTGTGTGAAGGTGTTGGAAGAACATTAAAAGGGAGAGATCTAAGTAGGGTAAGAAATGCTGTTTTAACAAAAACAGGATTTCTTGAATAAATTTGCAAATTATCATCAATGTTGATTATTGGAGGGTGGTTGGAAAAAAAGATTTGAAATCCCAATTGAATATTGGTGATGGTGAAAATTTTTGTTCTTGTTTTTTTTTTTCCGATTATATGTAAAACATGTTACGTGATTTCTTTTGATCTATACGTGAATGTTGAAAGTTTGTAAATATTTGTGCTTTCATCTGGACTTGGATTTTGGAAGGGAATCGATACTTGTGCTGATGAAAAATAATAACATCCAGACAGTGAATGAATTCAGATCGCGCCAGCTAAAGCATTGTAGTCTTAGAAGTGAAAAGTGATGTGATTTCTTTCCTCTCATTTTGGTTTCAGTTCTGATTGATTAGCTTTTATTTTGATGTAAGCATTTGGTTCATCCCTTTTGTTGAGTTGTATATTTCATCTTTTACGTGGTTTTGTGTTTTTTAAATAGTTGTGACTCAATAATTATTTGTGGTAGGGTTTAGGATGATCCATTTGTTTACTTCAATTGTCACTATGTATTTGTACATCTAGTGAATGAGATTAGAAGAGAGATGAGAGAAACGAGCGAGATTAGGAGAGGTGAAAGAGAAATGGTAGATATCAGAGAAAGACGAATTATATATGTATATCTAGCGAAATGTATATGTATATCTGTCAGATATTGTATATATGTAATTGATACACATATGTATTTGTATATCTGCGAGCGAAATTGAGCTAGAAAATTGAGAAGCAAACGAGAGAGGATAGAGAATGGAGCGATATTGTATCTGTTTATTTGTTCTCTATATATATATATGAATTTGAATTTGATAATGTATAGAGAGGATATAGGCGAAAGAGGAGGAGAGAGGCTACATGATTATTGCTAAAATTAAGTTGCAAATGGTAATTAATAAAAATCTATATGTATAGCTAATTAACTAGTATATATTTCTTTATCCGCGTAATTTTTTTAAAAAAAAAATTAAACAATTATTTTCAGTATACTAAATACTAAACAAAGAGAGTATTGTAATTTTGAAATATGTTTATATGTAGTTGATTTTGTTCGGAGATTTTCTTTTTAAAATTCAAACCAAACTAATATTAAACAATTTATTAAATTTAGTACCATAAACAAATAGATTTTTCAAAAAAGAAAAACGTTAATCAATTTCTATATAAATCATTCAAACTTCAATATTAGATTTACTATTTTGAATTATGAAAATTCATGTCAATATAAGACTCAATAATAAAAATAAAAATAGTTAGTATTTAAAATATCTTCCTTATCAAATTAGAATTAGAATTACTTTTTTGTAAGGTTTTAGGACAAAAAGAAATAAATAAATCCATATATAACTAGGAAAAGAAAAAATCGCCATAACGCTTTCTATATAAACCTCCTACAAACAATCGAAACCTTATTAATTAATACTCCATCTAAGTTTTTATTTTAATCGGTGTTTGAAGGTGAGTTATTTCTTCGTTTCATTTTTCTTGCAAATCAATTAGTGTTCAACGACTTATTTGATACTGAATAAATTATTTATACATATTACTAGTATGTTCTTAACGTTTTTAATGAATTTAATTTCCTATCCGTATACTATGAAAGATTTTGAAAATTTAATCACGTTTCTTTTGAACTTTTTAGAGTGAGTTGCTTCACTTTTTGATTATTGGTTAGTTTGGAGGGTTATCTTTGATTATTTTTTTCCTATTTGTTTTGTTATATTTTTCTTGAGCCGAGTGTCTATTGAATATTTTCACCAGATCTCTATATTGTGAAATTACACTTGATATATTATTGTTGTAGTTTTACGCAAGGTAGGTTAGTTAATTGATATATATATATATATATATATCCAATTTTTAAGGTGTATACGAATTTAAATATTATATTTTTTTTAGCAATTGAATTCTTGATGTTTCACAATTTTATTGAAAATTTGCCTTCTAAAAATTTGATTTTTTTTCTTTGTTTTCAGCTCTCTGATTGTCCAATCAGCAAACGACGATTTCTATTTGGATTATAAATTAAAGTTTTTTCATATACAACAATATACATGGTTGATACAAATTTTGAAATTCCAACTTCTTTTGATCCTGAGGACCAAATCCCAAGGAGTTTCGATCCGTTCGCGGAGTCGAAGGACTTAGGTACCCGTGGAACAAATAAAGAGTATGTCCATATTCGTGTACAACAAAGGAATGGTAAAAAAAGTTGGACAATGATTGAAGGTCTGAATAAGGATATTAATTGCGAAAAATTACTTAAAGACCTCAAAAAAGAGTATTGCTGCAATGGGACGATTATCCATGACAAGGAACTTGGAAAAGTGATACAATTACAGGGCGATCAACGCAAAAACGTATCACAATTCCTTCACAAGGCTGATATTGTTAAGAAGGAACAAATCAAGGTTCATGGTTTTTAAAAGTTTTATAGGCATAATATTGTGTTTTTGAGGGATTTTTTGCTATTTAATTGTGTTGGTTGTTGTTTTCTCTTTGAGATTTTATAATGAAACTTTATTCCATTAATATATTTAGCTTTCTTTGTACTTTTGGCATTCGTAGATGAATTGAAGTTTATAGACCTTTATATAATGATTAGAAAATATTTAGTAAATGTTTTGATACACATATATACATAGAGTTAATAAAAAATTATTGAATTTTAGTAACCAACACAAGTTGCTAAATGCTCAAATATTGTTATTGTACCATGTACATTCATATTGATAGGGAACTCTCTCGAAGTAAAGAGAATAATCTAAACTGAGTTAGATATCATTTTGTCTTATAATTGTATCTTATCGTTCCAGGATATCCCTAGCTTATAACATATTAATAGAAACAAAGACAATCTTTTACAACATTCTTTTATCGTAAAATTACACTATATAGATAGAAAAAAAATTATTTATATATAATTACCATATATAACACATTTTTCATTATAATTGCCATCGTAGCACGCGTGTATATTAGAGTAGCACACAATAAATGGGCCTAAATATTATCCTCACGATTTTTGGGCCTATATGGGCCTTAGGAAGTGTAGCCCATATAAATATTCCGATAATATTCCGCCATAATAACAAAAGGAAGCGTATATTAAGCCAATAAGGTAACAGAAGCAAAAATATAGCAAGCAGAATCGGGAAAATGACGTGGGCCGCCGCCGCAGCAAGTCGCTTTCAAATTCCGGCAATGGATGTCGCCGCCCTACGCAGAAGAGCTCCGGTAGTGTTCGGAGTTGGCTGTGTATCAATTGCTGGGGCAAAGTTTTGTGGTTCTTCATCTGCTCGATCAAAACCCTTCGCTTGCTTAAGCATTTCCACTGATGCCAGTAAGTTCCTTCAACCACCATAACATGGAATTTTATCTGTTTGCGTGATTTTTCGTTTTTTTTAATGATGGACGCAAATAGTTTGGATTGAAAACTAAGTTGATTGATGTATTTTGGGATTTTCTTAGCTGACTGATGAGTGTTGTTGCTTCTGAGTGGTTATAGAGGATATATGTATATTATACTCAGACCTATTTGGATTTGAGGCATAGTTTTTGACGTCGTGCTACAGAAATATTGTGATTTTGACGTTTTTTTTGGATTTAGTTCTAGCTAATACGCAGTGATTTCCGAATTGAGTAATGAGTTAAACTTAAATTAAAGTAAAAAGAAAAAGTTTTCTAGTTTTATAAGTGTTCTCTTTAAAAAAGAAAATGGATTCGATACAATTCAACAGAATCTAAGAAATGATCAAAATAGAAATGATTTTCGAATTTGATTCTATAAAAATTTCTGTTTCATTTTTGAATGAAGTTAGACGATACAACTCTTATTTTGAGCTTAGAGTTTAGTTTGAAATTTGTTCGTAGATTATAATGAGTAAAGCAATTTGTTGCCAATCCACTTATTATAATCGATTATCTGTAATTAGCTTTAAGTAGTTCGTTAATGAGTAAAACTTAAACCATAACCACTTAATTTGTTATTGAATAGTCAAGCATTATATCTAGAAAAAATGTACAAGGGTATAGAGGAAATTCTCTCGTACACACATTATCCAATTTTTGGTATCTTAACTATTTCTCGAAGATTTTCTTAACCTTAGTAATGAACATTTGTTGTATGTCATTAGGTATAAAGGAGGCTGTTCACACTGAAAAGGCTCCGGCAGCACTGGGGCCATACTCTCAAGCCATCAAAGCTAATAATTTTGTATTCGTCTCTGGATGTCTGGGTCTTATTCCAGAGGTTTGTGCTATTATCGTATCAGCTATTGTAAATGCTTAACATCATAAGCTTGAAACATTCTGTGTACTAGTTCTATCATTTGTCTTTGCTTTTTTCTATCTTTAACTAACTTATGATTGAATGCAGACCGGGAAGTTTGTCTCAGAAAGTGTGGAGGATCAAACAGAGCAGGTATTTTGGTAGTCAGTCGTGATAAGAATATCCATTTCAGTACTTGAAAGTTGTGTCTCCACTTAGTCATTATTGAATACATTTTTTGATTCAAACTTATCTAGGAAGCTCACATGTGGTGTAGTGTTGCATGGCTCTTTTCTCTTGTAAAACATTCTTATTGCCTACAGCTGTAAAGCTTGTGAAGAAGTGTGATGCCAAAAAGTAGATTTCTACGCTTAATCCCAAATAGTGGTAGGTAAAAAATTGAAAATTGAAACTGTCTTCAGCTTTAAAGATCTACTTGAAGATATCATTGCCATGACAATTGTAGGTGCTTTTTTAATACTCTATTATGTCTATGTCAACCCTCAATTCTGAGTAGTCGTGCATTACTAATTGTCCGGTTCTAAGTTACGTGATATACAGAGGTAGCTAAATTCCATAATCATGTCGAATAATTTGACCTTTGCATTTTACGGGATAAGACCAAATGAGAGTTTGTTTGAAGATGTTAAACAGGAAAGATGATAGACAGCCAGGAAGGCGCAGACCCAACTTCACAAATTGTTCTCTGCATCTACTTTCACTCTCCAATTTTCCACCAAAAAAAAACCCAAAAAGAGTAGATAGCTGACAAATAACAGCTCTTGATTTTAGTTTGATATTTGGGTTGTCAGTAATCCGTCGTTTTAGTTAAAAAATGCTGACTCTAAGATTTTAAGATATTACATTGATTTCCAGGTTCTCAAGAATATGGGGGAGATACTTAAAGCAAGTGGTGTTAGCTACTCCTCAGTTGTTAAGACAACTATCTTGTATGATCTTTTTTTCTTTCTTCTTCCACCCCCTAGGGTTTTTGCTCTCATGGTAGTCTTGATTATTTTTTGGATGCTTCTCTCTCTACAGGTTAGCTGATCTGAATGACTTCAAGAAAGTGAATGAGATTTATGCAAAATGTGAGTCATGATATTGGGAGTTAAATTTTTTATACTATACTTTCTTTGCTTTGCAACATTCCATCAGTATGAGCTTATATTCTTCCCTCTGCTTACTACACTGAACTAAAATCAAAGAAAAACGTGAACGGATTTAAGAACAATAAAAGTGGATGCATTGCATATCATACTTCTTATTTGTTTGCATGAAGGGTCATTCTACGTCCTTTTTGGATATCATAGAGATCGTGCCTGAAACAATCAAAGGTCTACTGTTGTGCTCATGCATTTGATTTAGAGCATTGTTTACGGCATGGGTTGATTCGTTCTTATTTTTTGGAAGAAACCATGAGCCTGACCATATATACACGGATGATGTAATTAAACCTTTTGTCGACAATAATTGTGACATTGTATCACTTGCATGCTACTTTTTCATTTGAGCTAGTCCCCTGTTAGTAACTAGACTTATGTTGCAGATTTTCAAGCTCCTGCACCAGCTCGGGCAACTTATCAGGTAGCAGCACTGCCAATGAATGCAAGGATTGAAATTGAGTGCATAGCAGCATTATGATTCTCCCTTACCTATTCATTCAACAACTTATTAGACCTCGAAAAGGAGAAAGTCTGCTGACTTCCTAGCCTACATTCGTAGATTTAATAAGCCTGGAGTTAGCTACTAGTCCAGGAGCCCTTGTCTAACTTCGCGGAGCTGAGAATAAACTTTATTTAAGAACGTATTGTAACTGATCTGCATGAGTATTACATATACAATTGTGCTACTCTATTGGGAAGAACAAACTTGGTTATATTTTGGCCCTACTGTGTATCCTGTTTAGTCTTTCCTCAATCCTTTTTCTTTTATTTTTTTGAAGTGACTAAATCATTTCTTATGTGTTGATGCAATTGAATTTGAGGCCTAATTTCAGCTCTTTATAAACTACTCTTTGTTTATATTGAACAAAATATAATGTTTTTAATGACATAGTAAGTATGTTGTGAGTAAAATATAATCCTTTACAATTTAAATATATAGATTTCGTATGATTTTTTGCAAATTATAAAACAAAAAATAAATTTGTGAAAGATTATGAACAAGTTCCAAAACAATGATGTATTTCCGTTATTTTTTATTAATTGGTCAAGAAAAAAAAAAGAGATAAAATATTCCTAAGTTTAGGTATATATACACTTCGCAGTAACTAATCAGTCAATGAGATTCACGATGAAGATATTGCTATACCTTTTGACGGTTATTCTGTTCATCGCCGGAACTGTACTTGCCGGCGATTATGTCCGACCGCCGCCCCGGAAAACTCTCCATTTTCCATGGGATCCGAAACCTTCTTCGCAACCTCAGCAGGTATAAATTATCAATGAAGTTAAATGATTCTGCCTTTTACCTGGTTAATTATGTTCTAGCCTGTTGCTGGTAGGAGTTGGTAGGTAATAGTGTGTAATTAGTGGGTGCAATCTGGCTGGGACACAAAAAAAATTAAAATTTAGTAGGGTTTTGGATATGAATTTGGTTATTTTTGAAGAAATAAGTATTTGAACTAAGTTGAAGAATAAGTATGGGAATTTGAAAGTTGAAGTTTTGTTTGGACATGTATTCTCCCATTACCTTGTTAATTATGTGGACTTAAAAGTTCATTTCTTCTGTTTATTACTCTGATTTTGCTTGAATTTTCATTTCGTTAAGCTGGACTTGGAACCAGCTTGCTGCAGTCTGCGGAGGTCATATAGGGGGAGTTTGGTTACATCTTGCTCGTTGTGAACAATACCAACATATCCAGTGTAATATCACAAGTGGGGTTTGGGAGGGTAGAGCATTAGAGTGTACAGAGACCTTAGCGTACCTTGTAGTATTAGAGAGATTGTTTTCTATAGACCCTCGGCTTAAAATAAAGCATTTCCAAGGAGTTTGAAAAAGGGAATACAAAAATGAAAGCTGTAACTGCAACGAAGTAATGTGTAATGGGAGCAGTACACAACATACATTTCACGCTAGAGCTTTATTAATGTCGAGGGAAAATACGAGATAATTTTACTAATACTAAGTGTATGAATGAACTAAGGGGTTGTTTGGTATGATGGATGAGGGGAGATAATCTTGGGATTAGTTTTTTGTACTCAACCAAGCAAAGTATAGGTATTTCGAATAGTACATGGCCAAATTTAGACCTTTTCCCTTGTTAGAGTAAGTTTGTGTAAAGAAGAATTCGTAAATGATGAAGTTCTGTTAGTAGACTTTGAGTCTGTTTGGAGGTTGTCAGCATAGCCTTAGTGCGGAGGAATACAATAATACCAGTTCTTTTTTAAAAAAGAACCGTTGGCTTTAAGTACCTTGTGATCAATGCATCTGGTGGGAGACCAAGATTTAAATCCCAAGTAGAGCCAAAAAAGCTAGGTGGTTTTGGTGGACAGAGTTACCGACACCTATGGGGAGTCGGGAGGTACCAACTGTGTGAACAAGCCGACCTGGTCGCTATCATTATCACAAAGGAAAATAAAGAAAGAAACTTGACTTTAAACATTACTTTGTATTTTGTTTGGTTAAAGGCTTCCACTTTGAGCATTCTGTTGAAGCCTTAATGACAATTATGCCTTGAGGATCAGTCTGAGAATTCTGTTAAAGCCTTAACGACAGTTATGCCTTGACGGTCAGTGTAAGTCTTCTTATATAAATTGAACCATCTTTGGGTTCCTTAATACTCAATGCTGATCCTGAGTCGATATTATCTTTCTTCATAGAAAGGTTCATTACCAATTACTAGTATGGACTATATGTGTTTCTCTGTACGACAAGTATAATTAAATTAGCTTGGTATGCCCTAGGTCCATTTGATAACACCAATAAAGTTTGTAAGCTGCCTAAAACTATATAGTTTTTGTGGCATTTATGTTTGTTCAGATATGTTATTCATGTTATTTGAAGTTGTCGAAGTACCTGTTGATTTTAATCTGTAAAGTGATATACTTTGTATATGGGTTCATGATTTGAGCATGTGGACCTCATCAAGGGTGTTGATTTTCCCATTGCAGGTTCACATCTCATTAGCTGGGGACAAACACATGCGGATAACATGGATCACCAATGATGGATCTTCTCCTTCTATTGTTGAATATGGAACATCCCCCGGAAAATATAGTGCTATATCTCAAGGAGAAAGTACCAAGTATAGTTATCTATTATATAGTTCGGGGAAGATACATCACACTGTCATTGGACCATTGCAAGAAAATACCACTTACTTCTATAGATGTGGAGGAGGAGGCCTTGAATTCCAGCTGAAAACTCCTCCCTCTAAGTTTCCAGTTACTTTTGCTGTAGCCGGTGATTTGGGCCAGACTGGATGGACTAAGTCAACTCTGGACCACATAGACCAGTGCAAATACGATGTTCATTTACTCCCTGGTGACCTTTCTTATGCCGATTGTTTCCAATATAGGTGGGACTCATTTGGTCAACTCGTTCAGCCGCTTGCTAGTTCTAGGCCATGGATGGTGACACAAGGGAATCATGAAAAAGAAAGAATACTATTTCTGGAGGATGGATTTGTCTCTTATAACTCAAGGTGGAAGATGCCATTTGCGGAGAGTGGATCCACTTCAAATCTATACTATTCATTTGATGTTGCTGGGGTTCATATCATTATGCTCGGTTCGTATGCTCCTTATGATGAGCACTCTGATCAATATAGCTGGCTGAAGGTCAGAGATCTCATTTATTCCGAAAATGGGAAAATCTCTTATGGCTTTGAAGAATTTATAATCACATAGAATTCAGCATGAAAAGGATTTAAGTTGCTTTTGTTTTACAGTTTCAGACAAGACATTTTAGGAAATTTCCAATCCTTAGGGAGTGCCAATAACAGAAGATAATTTTGTTGCTTTAGACTTTTAGATCTGAAGATATTTCTGTCCATTGTCATTATAAGAAACTTTGGAGATTACACGTAAAAATAGCCTAGTATGCGTGGTGAAGAGTGAATGATCTGAGGCATGTAGCTTCCAAAGCAGTTAGACTAAGGGCCCTTTTGAATGTGTTACTGTTTGGAGAATCAAATTGTTTTTCCTTTGACTATAATTTTCTCGTTTTTTTAAAAGTATTTTCAAACAGTAGCTTTTGCCTAATTTTTTTTTTGAAACAGTAGCTACGTTGACTTGTGATACTTTTCGTGTAGTTATCAAATATATGTAAATTTTTTGGAGAATCCTGATTTTTAGTCAAAGTTTAGTGTTACGACTCTCGTACTCTGAACCCTTTCACATAAATTGCGCAGAGGGAGTATTATATAAGGAGAAACCTAAGAATCTCTTCACATTTCATACTTGCTAATTAGTTCAATTATGGACCTTGATCTGCAGGCTGATCTTCTAAAAGTGGATCGTAAAAAAACACCTTGGTTAGTTGTGCTATTCCACGTGCCATGGTATAATAGTAACAGAGCCCATCAAGGTGAAGGTGATGACATGATGGCGTCTATGGAGCCTTTGCTATATGCTGCTGGCGCAGATTTAGTGTTCACTGGGCATGTTCATGCTTATGAACGCACGGTATGCCTGCATTGCTTATACTGTTTTTTTGTTTTAAAAAATCTTTTACCTTATTGAATGTTTTCTTTGACACCAGAAACGAGTTTACAATGGTAAATCTGATCCTTGCGGTGCTGTCCACATTACAATTGGCGATGGAGGAAATAGAGAAGGTTTAGCTCACAGGTGACTATTCTTCTAGTAATTTCTCTCATCATGTTGAGCACTGTATCACCAAATAGTTGAATTCTTTAGTGGTATGTATATTTTATGTGGAATTCTAATAGCTTTTACATTGTGTTTGAGTGACTTTGACAACAAAGGAGAAAGTAAAAACGTAAAAAGGCAAGCACTGGTGTCTTTTGGTATATTAAGGAAAACATCTTCTGGAAAAAGTTTTTCAGCTTGGCTAAATTTAGACAAACGAGTTCCTTGAAAATCAGGAAAATGACTTCCCTAGTCGAAATATAGAAATCAAGTTTCGTAAGTGGCACTACAAGCCCATTGTCTCCTCACGTCAATGCCCCTAACCTGAACAACCATGACTTCCCACTCCCTACCCCATCCCCCACCCCAAGTGTTCCCAGATTACATATAAATGTTCTTGAGATTTTTTTACACTTACGAACACCTTAAAATAAGAAAGAAAAATCACTTATTCTTCATGTGTGTTCTCCTAAATCACACACTTTTGTTCCAGGCTTTGTGAAGCTGAAAACTCAAGTTAAACTGTTCTGGAAACTTAATCAACTACTACGCCATAGGAAAGATAGGTTTCCTACCTCCCCCTTCACTTTGAGTTACAGAAGTTTTAACGTGCCACTAGTCCTAGCTGAGATAAGGATAAATTTGTGTATACACTGTCCTCCCTAAACCCTGCTTATGAAATTACACTTGTTATGTTGTTGTTGTTGTTACTAGTTCTACTATAAGATTTTCTTTCATGTTTTTTGTGTTATAACTGTAGTTATAAACATAAAGCAGAGTTATTTAAAATATGGAACAGTCTTTACATGTCTTGGCACCTTCAACAGGTACAAACAGCCCCCACCAGAATGGTCAATCTTCCGCGAAGCAAGCTTTGGTCATGGCGAACTTAAGATGGTTAACACAACACATGCCTTTTGGAGTTGGCATAGGAACGATGACGATGA